GGTTTCGTTTGTGGACTTTGTAAAAACTGTTTCATTATGTTGTTATTTGTTCCTTGAGTTAGAATCAACCAACTTTACTAACTAAATTACAGGAATAATGATTCACATCACTGTGAAGCTATGCACCTGGGACTTTTCATGTGGATTTTTTTCAGTTTTGTTAGAGTTATTGCCCTTGACTTACAGTAGTATAAATTTGCAATTTTCAACTTTTTCATGCATAGCCCAAAAAGTATTTCACTTGTAGGCCTGAAAGTTTACAAGAATGTTGGTCAGCATGTGTACTTATGCACCTTGGGGTTTGCTTGTGGATTTATTCAGTATTTGTAAAAGTTCTTGCCCTTTACTTATTAAAAATTTTTAGTTTTCAAAAAATATTTGACCTAGAGTCATAAGATTGACAGAAAACAGTGGCGCGGTGGGGGCACCCGTGTCCTATGGACAAATTTCTAGTTTAGTTATTGCCCTTAATTATTTTTCATACTTAATTTTTCACCTGAGTGGAGCATAACTAAAAAAGTATTTTGAGATGTCAACATGAAACTCATAGGTGTATTTTTGTGTCACTTCTCCCTCGTCTGTCTGTCTGTCCGTCCCTCCGTCACAAAATTTGTCCGGACTACTCCTCATAAACTACTGGTGCAATTTCATCCAAACTTTACAGGAATGATCAGTACCAAGTGTAGTTGTGCATATTGTCAGCATTTTCCGGTTAAATGATTTTTGTCAGAGTAATGGCCCTTTAATAATTTTTATTTTTAAAGTTTGTCTGGACTACTTCTCTTATACCACTAATGCAATTTCATTGAAACTTTACAGGATTGATCTGTAGCTCAAGTCCTTGCGCATTTTGCACGGGTTTTCCGGTTGAATTGATTTTTGGGGCCGAGTTATGGCCCTTGATAAAAGGTGTTTTTTCTGTGTGTTGCCAAGATACACAAAAGCTTGTCCGGACTACTCCTCATAAACTTACTGGTGCAATTTTCATCCAAACTTTACAGGAATGATCAGTACCAAGTCTAGTTTGTGCACTGTCTCGTCTGTCTGTCCGTTTGTCACAAAACTTGTCCCAACATGAAATTGGCCCTCATGAGGTGACACATGTGATCACTGATTGCTCTTGTTCTTATTGAGGAGGAATGCTGTGCGCAAGAATGATAGCTCTACCCTTTATTATTTTTGAGTTATTGCCCTTTGTTATTTTTCATAATTTTTGTCCAGAGCTTATCTTAAAAAGTGTTAGAGGTATCAACTTGACTTCATAGGGTGGGATAGATCTCATTGAGGAGGGACCTGGCAGCACACAAGAATGTTAACCTACCCTGCATTATTTTTCAGTTATTGCCCTTTCTTATTTTCAGCCATCCAGTATTCACAGGTAAGCTTTCAAATCTGTAATCACTTCAGCCATCAGTTTTCATTACCAAAAGACCTCTTTAATTTGAATTATTCTGCTCTACTACACTTACATTCTTCCAAATGAGCAAACACATTCGGCGGGGGATGGCCGTGCTAAATGGCCTTGTTCCATTTAGTTTAATATTTCCTTTTCATCCCGCATCCAGGTATAGTCGGGCTAAAGTGAAAATTATATTTTATAAATTTCACTAGTGGTTTTTATCCGAATATAATCATCTGATATATTACAGTTAAAACACTGGAAAGCATGAAATTAAATAATAATTATGCTCTGAATAAATGATTGTTTTTTTTTTTTTTAGTTTTCAGGTTTGAAAAACAATTGGAAAAATTTTATAAAGAGCTTAGATGGAATTTCCAGTCACCCAGAAGCTGTTGTACAGAAATTGTCAACAAAACAGAAATGGAAATTGATCTTCAATTTACTCTTCCTAATAAAAACATGTATATAGATAATTTTTTGAATTGGTTAACTTAAGAAGATGTTCCAAATGATAAATCAATACAATTTTAGCAAAAAAATTATGAAATACAAGAAAAATTAATGATGAGAAAAAGATTTTATCAGATAAGAAAATAAGATCAAACAAATATTGAATATTTTGTAAAATTAAAGTACTAGGTTTATAATCTTAATTACATTAAAGGCCCATTAAGCCTGGATAATGCTATCGTTTTATTTTTTCAAAAACTTTTTTACTTTTGGTGTTTCCAAAATATTTCTCTTTGGTTATATAGTCCCAAGCCATCTTTTGCATTTGAATAAATTCTGTTGTATAGTTTCGTTCTGCTATATGTCTATATTTGACCCTAGCATATGCCTTTTAAAATTGTTAATTATCAGTTCAGATAATCTAAGGGAGCTGTCGGGTTTATTCAATAGGTAGAGCGTTGGACTGTGAATCTGGAGGCCCATGTTTGATTCCCGACGGAATCAGGTCACTGTTTGTTGTGATTGATTATGAAATCCTTTCTAACGGTCCCATTCGATGTAACCTGTGCCTCCTGAAATGTACAGAAGTAACAATTCCTTTGCATGATAAGAAGGCAAACTAGTAGTAAGTCTGGAAAACTGCTTGACGCCTGCCAAGGGAATGATGTGGTGGCTGAAACTGTTTCTCTGGTAAATTCATTTGGTGGCTTTATGCACGTAATTTCCCTGAGTGAAAAACTAACCAAACACCAAACCACCAAACAGAAATTTCTAAGAACTTTAAGCCTTTGATTTTAGAAATTTTAACTTGCTTCAAATTTTTTTTTAAACATTAAATATAATTTTAAGGTCCATTGTGCTTAAAACACTAATATTTTTTCATAATCACAGTAAACTTAATTTTTTGGCCCGTCCTATTAAACGTTTAATTGAATTATACTTTTTGTATATGGAAGTCAAAAAACCACTTATTGTTTATATTTTTGCTATTTTTAAATCGCAAATTTATTTCTTGGTCAAACCTTAATAATTTTTTTTACACGTGAAACTAAGGGCATTAACATGCTTTAAAAATCTGTAAATAACAATATTATAAAAACACATGTTTGCCCTTTCTACAGAAGAAAAAAAATAGTTATTCCTTTTTTTGGGCATTTTGTGCCTTTTAAAGCTGCATGCCTCCAGATGAGCCAAAATATTTCAATAAAAATTACACTTGAGAAATATGTACTAAGATTGTAAAGAAAAGTAAAAAATATTTAAGATTTTAAATTTTAATTTTTAATTTTAAATAATTAAGATTTTCTTTTCATTAATATTAATACTTTATATTTAATATGTTTTCCATTACTTGAGAGAAACTGTTCATGTTCAAAGTTTCAAATATTAAACTTCCCTTTGGGCCGAGAACGCCACTTGCAATAAGCATTCAGCAAAAACTTCTTGACAGTAACTTTAGATATACAATTACAATAGCAAAAACAACACAGATGATAAAAAATACAAAACTTGATGATGTTAAATTATTATATCTTTAAAATTATCATTTTGGATAATTTCAAATTAATAACAGTGTTATGTAGGTACTGGTACAGCACCTTAAATTATCTTTTATTAGAAGGTTTAACAAAGCTGTTCTAATTGCCATGGTGGCATAAGTTAAACTTCTGTACCTAATTATGGGCATGAGCATTGGCGCAAAAAATTTGGATTTTTAAATACTTTTTATGATGAAATAATACAAAATGATAATCAGTTTCAATAAAAAATTTACAATAAATACATCAGTCTTTGAGGATTAATGTTTTTGAATCTTTTGTTTTTTTTATTTTTTTCCTGAGAGCAATTTCGTTGGCTTGTTTTTGTTTTGCTTTGATTTTTTTTTAATTTTTAAATTCCTGCCTTTATAGAAGTCATTTTACCTTCTATGTTCTCACTGCATTTTCACTTGTTTAATAATAAATAACCTATAAACATGATTGTGTATTCTCAGTGCTAACAATATAACATTATATAACCATTGGTCAAATGAATTTTATAAGGCAACTGAAGCACAAAAATATATTTTATAAAACTAATTAGCATAGACAAGCTTTAGAAATTTTTCTGAAAATTGTCAAAAACAAAAAAAAATATAATAATAAGAAAAAAAAACAAGGAAGAAAGGTTGTTTTACCAGTACTTTAACACTATAAAAATTACTTTTGACAAAATATTATACTAAAAGCTTTGTCATGTTGTATAGTTACTCTCAATGTTCTTATAGAAATGTTACAAATGTAGGTAAACTAAAGTCAGTGATATAAGACAAGACAGATTGACATGTTTATTACCAAGAATATCTTGCAAGTTGGAGATGAGGCAAAACAGAAGAACTTTATTCATAATTCAGAGACTAAAAGATTTATAGTTGATGAACTGGTAAGTGAAGTTTATGATTTGGTTGTTAAAATAATTTTGCAAATCTGCAATACTACATGTAAATATTTGTACATAATTTGATGCATTTGGTGACTTGGTTGTTAAAGATTCTGCAAGATATCTTTTGGCATAATGGATCCTTCTTGGGACTTTGAATAATTTTTTGTGATTCTTAAAACTTGTATGTCTGCAAATATGTAGGTACAGTCAGGGGTTTAGCTATGGCACAATTAGATTAAAATAGCATACATCTTGATAAAAATGTTTCACAGGGTGAGAAAAATGTGCAGCCTGACCAAGACTCGAACCTGGGAACCTCGGAATACCGTACCACCGCTCTACCGGCTGAGCTATCCGGCCACTTACACATCATCTCCCCTAAATAGTGCATTATAAGTTCTGAACCATGACATACTCCCCTGCTTTATTGAAATTAGTCCTTGAATTTCACAGAGTTACAGAGCAATGTTAATTAACCCTGAGCTATATATAGTCACAGCCTCATGTTAGGCGCCAAATGTCACAGGGTGAGAAAAATGTGCAGCCTGACCAGGACTTGAACCCGGGACCTTTGGAATACTGTATTGCGACTCTACTGGCTGAGCTATCTGGCCGCTTACACATCATCTCCCCTAAATAGTGAAAAGTTCTGAACCGTGCCAAAATAATACAGTGTAACCTCTGCAGTATGGCCTTCTGTTGATCAATAATATCTTTAAATTATCAGTCATGCAGTGAAAGTCATCAAAATATCTGAGGAGAAAACAACTCTCAGCAACAATCAAACTGGCTGTAGAAGCTGCACACTGTATAACAAAGATATTTTACTGCACAAATTTGTCAACGTAGGTGACACAGTGTATTGAGTACTGACAGGTTCTTATGTTCAGTATCTTTCAAAAAGTAAGTACAATGAAATAATGATAATTCTTTTCATTAGTTTTAATATTTGAAGAATAAAGGAGAGCTATGTTAGTTAAATGATTGCCATATAACTTTATTTCTTCACTTTTTTACACAAGTTTGACATGTAGTTGACAATAAATCATATGAGGGTTGTTCAAAAAGTAATAAGACTTAGAGTCTTGCAGCTTCATATTCCATTCAATTTAGAATATTTTCATATGTAATTAAGCAAACGTAACATGTTTTCTACAATTTTAGATCAGTTTATTAATTGATCATGCTAGCTTTATTGAAAAACCATGGTAACATGCACCTAGCATAGCACATCAAAAAGTTATTGAAGCTAAGTTGTTCTTATAATTTATTAATAATTTATTTTCCATTTTTTTTTCTTCAAATTTTTCACCAACAAATTTTATTATATTCAAATGACATTATGTCCAAATTTGACATGATTTAGACAAAATATGGCTAAATTATCCCATGTTTTGAACAGCAGTGGTCATAGTGTTAAATGTAAAAATATGATGTTTCTTAAAAAACTGAACATTTGTGCGATTGTTAAATTTTGCCAACAGATTGACGATACTCCTTTAGATACATTAGAAAAGATAAAATTAACAGGGAAATTAATCTACCATCAAGGCAACAGTTTTCAGCTAGTGTAAGTATTTAAAAGGCAGCGAATATGAGATCACAAATAGGAAAGGGTCGGCAGATGAAAGGGGTAAATTGACCGGGATGTTTAAGTGATGTCAATAGCTAAAATGCTACAAAGGATCAAACTGTCTGGCTGTTTAATGTCTGCAATGGTTCTACTCATTCAGTTCTTATCAAAGGATTGAATATGATGCATTAGTGTTTTAAACACTATTTTATTTTATTTAACTGGATAATACGCGTTACCAATTAAAATAATATAAATAATGATTAATGGTAATAGTTTTATTTTCCCGGATTTCTTTGAATAAATGATAGCTTGTGCTTAGTAGAAAAGGATACTTTTTTATTGATAAGTATTGTTTCACTGTGCATAATCCTGTTGTTTTTGTGTCTCCCTGACAGAGGCGACATAGGGGTTATTTTGTCGACGGCATTGTCAGTGGCTGCATCCCCTTAGGTCATAACTCAGTCACTATAAGTTGGATTGACTCCAAACTTGGTATGCATGCTTCTTTTAATGACCCAAAGTGCAGTGCACAAGAATTGTTACTCTGCACCTCTTAATTTTAGAATTATTGCCCTTTGTTCATTTTCATACTTTATTTTTGTCCGGGCCATTTCTCCAAAATATAAAAGCTATGGACTTGAAACTTCATAGGATGATAGATCTCATTTAGAAGAAGTGCAATGCACAAGAACTGGTACTCTGCACTTCTTATTTTTGAGTTGTTGCCCTTTGTTAATTTTCATACTTTATTTTTGTCTGGGCCATTTCTCCTAAACTATGAAAGCTATGGATTTGAAACTGCATAGGATGATAGATCTCATTAAGAAGAAGTGCAGTGTTTAAGAACTTGTACTGTGCACTTCTTGTTTTTTTAGTAATTGCCCTTTGTTAATTTTCATATTTTTTTTGACCGGGCCATTTCTCCTAACCTGTAAAAGCGTACATGAAACTTCATAGGATGATATATCTCATTGAGATAAAGTGCAGTGCACAAAAACTTGTACTCCATGATTTTTGAGTTATTGCCCTTTGTTTATTATAATACTTTATTTTTGTCCTGGCCATTTCACCTTAACTATAAAAACTATAGACTTGAAACTTCACAGGATGAGAGATCACATTGAGAAGAAGTGCAGTGCACAAGAATCAGTACTCTGTACTTCATGATTTTTAGAGCTATTGACCTTTATTTATTATAATACATTAATTTTATCCAGGCCAGTTCCTCAGTCATTTTAAAAGCCATTGATTTGAAACTTCATATAATGATAGATCTCATTGAGAAGAAGTGCAGTGCACAAGAACTTGAACTCTGCACTTCATGATTTTTTAGCTATTGCCCTTTGTTATCCCTCGCCGAAAGGCGGTGGGGGATGTAGAAATAGTCTCCGTCTGTCCGTCAGTACTTCCATCTGTCCTTCTGTCTGACATTTTTGTCCAGAGCATATCTCAAAAAGTATTTGAGGTATCAACTTGAAACTTCATAGGCGGATAGATCATATTGAGGAGGAGTGCAGTGCTTAAGAATGATAACTCTACCCTGCATTTTTATTCAGTTATTGCCCTTTGTTATTTTTCAAACTTAATTTTTGTCCAGAGCAAAACTCAAAAAGCCTGGAAAAAAAAACATGAAACTTAATGGGTGGATAGATCTCACTCAGGAGGTGTGCAGTGCACAAGAATGATAACTCTTCATAATTTTTTAGTTATTGCCCTTTGTTATTTTTGTGCCCCCACTTTAGGGGGGGTGGGCATTTAGATTTACCCTTGTCTGACCGTTCTCTTTTGTGTGGCACGCAACTTGAAAAGTAATGTGTGGTCGCACCTGGGTATTTTCGTGTGGATTATATTGAGAATTTTTAGAGTTATTGCCCTTGACTTAGTAAAATTTTGCAATTTTCAACTTGTGTCTCAAAAAGTATTTGACCTAGAGTCATGAAACTTTACAGGAAGGTTGATCAGCATGTGTAGTTGTGCACCTGGGTATTTTCGTCTTGGTATTTTTAGGTTTTTTTAGAGTTATTGCCCTTGACGTAGTAAAATTTTGCAATTTTCAACTTGTGTCGCATGTAACTCAAAAGTATTTGACCTAGAGTCATGAAACTTTTCAGGAATATTGATCAGCATGTGTAGTTGTGCACCTGGGTATTTTTGTCTGGATTTATTTAGTATTTTTAGAGTTATTGCCCTTGACTTAGAAAATTTTTGCTATTTTCAACTTGTGTCGCATGTAACTCAAAAAGGATTTGACATAGAGTCATTAAACCTTACGGGAAGGTTGCTCAGCATATTTAGTTTGCACCTGGGGTTTTGCATGTGGATTTATCCAGTATTTGTAGAGTTATTTCCCTTGACTTACGTCTTAGTAAAAACTGTTTCATTATGTTGTTATTTGTTCCTTGAGTGCTTGAGTTAGAATCAACCAACTTTACTAACTAAATTACAGGAATAATGATTCACATCACTGTGAAGCTATGCACCTGGGACTTTTCATGTGGATTTTTTTTTCAGTTTTGTTAGAGTTATTGCCCTTGACTTACAGTAGTATAAATTTGCAATTTTCAACTTGTTCATGCATAGCCCAAAAAGTATTTCACTTGTAGGCCTGAAAGTTTACAAGAATGTTGGTCAGCATGTGTACTTATGCACCTTGGGGTTTGCTTGTGGATTTATTCAGTATTTGTAAAGTTCTTGCCCTTTACTTAGTAAAAGATTTTTAGTTTTCAAAAAATATTTGACCTAGAGTCATAAGATTGACAAAACAGTGGCGCGTTGGGGGCACCCGTGTCCTATGGACAAATTTCTAGTTTAGTTATTGCCCTTTGTTATTTTTCATACTTAATTTTTCACCTGAGTGGAGCATAACTAAAAAAGTCTTTGAGATGTCAACATGAAACTTCATAGGTGTATTTATCTTATTGAGGAGGAATGCTGTGCGCAAGAATGATAGCTCTACCCTTTATAATTTTTGAGTTATTGCCCTTTGTTATTTTTCATAATTTTTGTCCAGAGCTTATCTCAAAAAGTGTTAGATGTATCATCTTGACTTCATAGGTGGATAGATCTCATTGAGGAGGAGTGCAGCACACAAGAATGTTAACCAACCCTGCATTATTTTTCAGTTATTGCCCTTTCATTTTCAGCCATCAGTATTCACATAGCTTTCAAATCTGTAATCACTTCAGCCATCAGTTTTCATTACCAAAAGACCTCTTTAATTTGAATTATTCTGCTCTACTACACTTACATTCTTCCAATGAGCAAACACATTCGGCGGGGGATGGCCGTGCTAACATGGCCTTGTTCCATTTAGTTATGATATTCTTTTCATCCGCATCCAGGTATAGTCCGGCTAAAGTGAAAATTATATTTTATAAATTTCACTAGTGGTTTATCCAAATATAATCATCTGATATATTACAGTAAAACACTGGAAAGCATGAAATTAAATAATAATTATGCTCTGAATAAATGATTGTTTTTTTGTTTTTTTTTTAAGTTTCAGGATTGGAAGGAATTTGAAAAATTTGTAAAGACTTTAAGATGGAATTTCCAGTCACCAGAAGCTGTTGTACAGAATTGTCAACAAAACAGAAATGGGAATTGATCTTCAATTTACTCTTCCTATAAAAACATGTATATAGATAATTTTTGATTGGTTAACTTAAGAAGATGTTCCAATGATAAATCAATACATTTAGCAAAATTATGAAATACAAGAAAAATTAATGAAGAGAAAAAGATATTTATCAGATAAGAAAATAAGATCAAACAAATATTGAATATTTTGTAAAATTAAAGTACTAGGTTTATAATCTTAATTACATTAAAGGCCCATTAAGCCTGGATAATGCTATCGTTTTTATTTTTCAAAAACTTTTTACTTTTGGTGTTTCCAAAATATTTCTCTTTGGTTATATACCCAAGCCATCTTTTGCATTTGAATAAATTCTGTTGTATGGTTTCATTCTGCTATATGTCTATATTTGACCCTAGCATATGCCTTTTAAATTGTTAATTATCAGTTCAGATATTCTAAGGGAGGCATCTGGTTAGCTCAATAGGTAGAGCGTAGGACTGTGATACGGGAGACCAGGGTTTGATTCCCGGACGGCACAGGTCACTGTTGTTGTGATTGATTATGAAATCCTTTCTATGGTCATTCGCACTGTACCTGTGCTCCTGAATGTACAGAAGTAATCAGTTCCTTGCATGATAGAAGGCAACTAGTACTGGTAAACTGCTTGACAGCCTGCCAAGGAATGATGTGGTGGCTGAACTGTTCTCTGGTAAATTCAATGTGGCTTACTGCCGTGATCCTGAGTGAAAACTACCAACACCACCACCACAGATGTTCTAAGAACTTTAAGCTTTAATTTAGAACTTTTAAACTTGCTCATAATTTTAACATTATATAATGTTTAAGGTCCATTGTGCCTTAAAATACTATTATTTTCATATCACAGTAACTTAATTTTGGCATCCTATTAACAGTTATAATGAATTAGTACTTTGTATATGGAAGTCAAAACAGCACTTTGTTTATATTTTGCTATCTTTATCGCAAATTATTTCTTAGTCAACACTTATAATTTTTTACATGTAAAACTAAGCATCTTACATGCTTTAAATCTGTAATAACAATATTATAAAACACATGTTTGCCCTTTCTACAGAGAGAATAACAGTATTATTCCTTTTTGAGGCATTTTGTGCCTTTAAAGCTGCATGCCTCCAGATGAGCCAAAATATTTCAATAAAATCACACTTGAGAAATATGTACTAAGATTGTAAGAAAAGTAAAAATATTGAAGATTTTAAATTTTTAATTTTAATTTTAAATAATTAAGATTTTCTTTCATTAATATTAATACTTTATATTTAATATGTTTCATTACTTGAGAGTAACTGTTCATGTTCAAAGTTCAAATATTACTTCCCTTTGGGCCGAGAACGCCACTTGCAATAAGCATTCAGCAAAACTTCTGACAGTAACTTTAGATATACAATTACATAGCAAAAACAACACAGATGATAAAAATACAAACTTGATGATGTTAAATTATTATCTTTAAAATTATCATTTGATATTCAAATTAATACAGTGTTATGTAGGTACTGGTACAGCACCTTAAATTATCTTTTATTAGAAGATTTAACAAAGCTGTTCTATTCCATGGTGGCATAAGTTAAACTTCTGTACCTAATTATGGGCATGAGCATTGGCACAAACAATTTGGATTTTTAAAGACTTTTTATGATAAAATAATACAAAATGATAATCACTTTCAATAAAAAATTTACAATAAATACATCAGTTTTTGAGGATTAATGTTTTTGAATTTTTGAATGTTTGCTTTTTGATTTTTTTCTTCAGAGCATTATTTCATTGGCTTGTCTTTTTTTGCTTTGATTCTTTTTTTAAATTTTTAAATTCCAGCTGCCTTTATAGAAGTCATTTTAACATGTTCTCACTGCATTTTCACTTGTTTAATAATAAATAACCTTAATATGTGTGTATTCTCAGTGCTAACAACATAACATTATATAACTATTGGTCAAATGAATTTTATAAGGCAACTGAAGCACAAAAATATATTTTATAAAACTAATTAGCATACTCTGACAAGCTTTAGAAATTTATCTGAAAATTGTCAAAAACAGAAAAAAAAATATAATAATAAGAAAAAAAAAACAAGGAAGAAAGGTTGTTTTACCAGTACTTTAACATTATAAAAAAATTACTTTTGACAAAATATTATACTAAAAGCTTTGTCATGTTGTAGTTACTCTCAATGTTCTTATAGAAATGTTACAAATGTAGGTAAAGTGCAGACCAAGATTTGAGGACACTAGATGTTTCATCTGGTCTTATCTGCACATGGGGAGTTTACATCTAAGAGACCTTATTTTGTTTCTAAGAGTTATTGCCCTTTGGGCCAATGATGCCATTTGCAATAAGCAGGCCATGGATGAATCATAATCACTTAGTTAAAGTAATATATTAAAGGCAATAAGGTCTCCGTAATGACCCTTTTTTCTCTCTGTAGAAATATGTGTTATATAATGTTGTAATAATAGATTAAGGACATTAAAGATGCTCATGACATGTAAAAAATAGTGTTGACTTAAAGAAATAATTTGTGATAAAGATAGCAAAATGTAAACAAAGTGGCATTCTGACTTCCATATACAAAGTACTAACTTGCTATAACTGTATCAATTGCCAAAATACAAAAGATGGCTCAACTGTGGTCAATGAGTACTTTTACAGATATTGTAGCAGGACACCAAAAAATAAGTTATTGCGATATAAAAATAGTAGTATGTTTAGGCACAATGTACCTTAAACAGAATATGAATGAGCAAGTTTTAAATGTCTAAATTAAAGCTAAAAGTTCTTGGAATATCTGTGGTGGTAGTGTTGGTAGTTTTCACTTCAGATCCCGGCAGTAAACAACATTGAATTTACCAGAGCACAGTTCAGCCACCGCATCATTCCTGAGCAGGCTATCAAATAGTTTACCAGTGCTAGTTGCCTTCATCTTTGCAAGGAACTGATTACTTATGTACATTCAAGAGCAGAGGTCAAGTGCCAGTGACCATAGGAAGGATTTCATGATCAATCACAACAAAAGTGACCTGTGCCGTCTGGGAATCGAACCTATATCGCCTGATTCACAGTCCAACACTCCAACATAGTTTTAGTTATCTGATAATTAACAATTTAAAAGGGATATGCTAGGGTCAAGTATAGACATACAATGTATAACAGAATGAAAACTATATAACAAACTTGATTTATTTCGGGTCTTTTCAAGGCAAATAACTTTTCCATGAGCTTTACAATCCGAGGCACAAGAACAATATTCAGCAATTTGTTACTTTCATTCTCTTTTCTTTTCATAAAACCTGCATGCTTAAGAAACCTTTTCAGGGGCATTCGTCACTTGCGTGACAGCTCTTGTTATTTATACAAATTATTTATATATTTTGAGAAATATGGAGTAAGAAATATCATTATATATTATAAAGTTAATATTGCCAAACTTAAAATTAGGAACAGTCTATTTTTGAGTTTAAAGGATTTCAATAAATTATGAAAAAACTAGTAGTATAGCAAGGTGGAAACTATCTCATAAATACTGAAAGAATAAAAAGAGGAAGGAAACTGCAGAAATGCAGAAAAGAAATTTGTTATATATTTCCTTGTCCTTTTCTTTGATCCAAGTTTAAATTTGTTTGCAAACCTGCATTCAATACCTTATCTACATTCTTTCCTTTGGTCCAATGATCTCATTTGCAATAAGCAGGGGAGACCACCCTAGCAGACATTTTGTTCTAAAGAGTAACTTCCCTTTGCAATAATCAGAGAACACTCAGCAGACCTTTTGTTCTTGAGAGTAACTTCCCTTTGTAATCGGGGGAGATCACTGTAACAGACCTTTATGTTTCTTAAGAGTTACTTCCCTTCGCAATTATCAGGGGAGACTACCCTAGCAGACCTTTTTGTTTTTAAGAGTAACTTCCCTTTGTAATCAGGGGAGATCACTGTAACAGACCTTTATAATGTTCTTTAAGAGTTACTTCCCTTTGCAATTATCAGGGGAGACTACCCTAGCAGACCTTTTTGTTTTTAAGAGTAACTTCCCTTTGTAATCAGGGGAGATCACTGTAACAGACCTTTATAATGTTCTTTAAGAGTAACTTCCCTTTGCAATTATCAGGGGAGACTACCCTAGCAGACCTTTTTTGTTTTTAAGAGTAACTTCCCTTTGTAATCAGGGGAGATCACTGTAACAGACCTTTATAATGTTCTTTAAGAGTTACTTCCCTTTGCAATTATCAGGGGAGACAACCCTAGCAGACCTTTTTGTTTTTAAGAGTAACTTCCCTTTGTAATCAGGGGAGATCACTGTAACAGACCTTTATAATGTTCTATAAGAGTTACTTCCCTTTGCAATTATCAGGGGAGACTACCCTAGCAGACCTTTTTTGTTTTTAAGAGTAACTTCCCTTTGTAATCAGGGGAGATCACTGTAACAGACCTTTATAATGTTCTTAAGAGTTACTTCCCTTGGCAATTATCAGGGGAGATAACCCTAGCAGACCTTTTTTTTAAGAGTAACTTCCCTTTGTAATCAGGGGAGATAACTGTAACAGACCTTTATAATGTTCTTTAAGAGTTACTTCCCTTTGCAATTATCAGGGGAGACAACCCTAGCAGACCTTTTTGTTTTTAAGAGTAACTTCCCTTTGTAATCAGGGGAGATAACTGTAACAGACCTTTATAATGTTCTATAATAGTTACTTCCCTTTGCAATTATCAGGGGAGACTACCCTCGCAGACCTTTTTTGTTTTTAAGAGTAACTTCCCTTTGTAATCAGGGGAGATCACTGTAACAGACCTTTATAATGTTCTTAAGAGTTACTTCCCTTTGCAATTATCAGGGGAGACAACCCTAGCAGACCTTTTTGTTTTTAAGAGTAACTGCCCTTTGTAATCAGGGGAGATCACTGTAACAGACCTTTATAATGTTCTTAAGAGTTACTTCCCTTTGCAATTATCAGGGGAGACAACCCTAGCAGACCTTTTTGTTTTTAAGAGTAACTTCCCTTTGTAATCAGGGGAGATAACTGTAACAGACCTTTATAATGTTCTATAAGAGTTACTTCCCTTTGCAATTATCAGGGGAGACTACCCTAGCAGACCTTTTTTGTTTTTAAGAGTAACTTCCCTTTGTAATCAGGGGAGATCACTGTAACAGACCTTTATAATGTTCTTAAGAGTTACTTCCCTTTGCAATTATCAGGGGAGACAACCCTAGCAGACCTTTTTGTTTTTAAGAGTAACTTCCCTTTGTAATCAGGGGAGATCACTGTAACAGACCTTTATAATGTTCTTAAGAGTTACTTCCCTTTGCAATTATCAGGGGAGACAACCCTAGCAGACCTTTTTGTTTTTAAGAGTAACTTCCCTTTGTAATCAGGGGAGATCACTGTAACAGACCTTTATAATGTTCTTTAAGAGTTACTTCCCTTTGCAATTATCAGGGGAGACTACCCTAGCAGACCTTTTTGTTTTAAGAGTAACTTCCCTTTGTAATCAGGGGAGATCACTGTAACAGACCTTTATAATGTTCTTAAGAGTTACTTCCCTTTGCAATTATCAGGGGAGACAACCCTAGCAGACCTTTTTTGTTTTTAAGAGTAACTTCCCTTTGTAATCAGGGGAGATCACTGTAACAGACCTTTATAATGTTCTTAAGAGTTACTTCCCTTTGCAATTATCAGGGGAGACTACCCTAGCAGACCTTTTTGTTTTTAAGAGTAACTTCCCTTTGTAATCAGGGGAGATCACTGTAACAGACCTTTATAATGTTCTTTAAGAGTTACTTCCCTTTGCAATTATCAGGGGAGACTACCCTAGCAGACCTTTTTGTTTTTAAGAGTAACTTCCCTTTGTAATCAGGGGAGATCACTGTAACAGACCTTTATAACTTCCCTTTGTAATCAGGGGAGATCACTGTAACAGACCTTTATAATGTTCTTAAGAGTTACTTCCCTTTGCAATTATCAGGGGAGACAACCCTAGCATCCTAAGAGTAACTTCCCTTTGCAATTATCAGAGGAGACCACCCTAGCAGACCTTTTTTGTTTTTAAGAGTAACTTCCCTTTGTAATCAGGGGAGATCACTGTAACAGACCTTTATAATGTTCTTAAGAGTTACTTCCCTTGGCAATTATCAGGGGAGACAACCCTAGCAGACCTTTTTGTTTTTAAGAGTAACTTCCCTTTGTAATCAGGGGAGATCACTGTAACAGACATTTATAATGTTCTTTAAGAGTTACTTCCCTTTGCAATTATCAGGGGAGACTACCTTGGAGGCCTTTTTGTTTTTAAGAGTAACTTCCCTTTGTAATCAGGGGAGATCACTGTAACAGACCTTTATAATGTTCTTAAGAGTTACTTCCCTTTGCAATTATCAGGGGAGACAACCCTAGCAGACCTTTTTGTTTTTAAGAGTAACTTCCCTTTGTAATCAGGGGAGATAACTGTAACAGACCTTTATAATGTTCTTTAAGAGTTACTTCCCTTTGCAATTATCAGGGGAGACTACCCTAGCAGACCTTTTTGTTTTTAAGAGTAACTTCCCTTTGTAATCAGGGGAGATTACTGTAACAGACCTTTATAATGTTCTTAAGAGTTACTTCCCTTTGCAATTATCAGGGGAGACAACCCTAGCAGACCTTTTTTGTTTTAAGAGTAACTTCCCTTTGTAATCAGGGGAGATAACTGTAACAGCCTTTATAATGTTCTTAAGAGTTACTTCCCTTTGCAATTATCAGGGGAGACAACCCTAGCATCCTAAGAGTTACTTCCCTTTGCAATTATCAGGGGAGACTACCCTAGCATAACCTTTTTTTTGTTCTTAAAAGTTACTTCCCTTTGCAATTATCAGGGGAGACCACCCTAGCAGACCTTTTTTGTTTTTAAGAGTAATTTCCCTTTGTAATCAGGGGATATCACTGTAACAGACCTTTATAATGTTCTTAAGAGTTACTTCCCTTTGCAATTATCAGGGAGACCACCCTAGCAGACCTTTATGTTCCTGTGAGAAACTTCCTTTGCAATTATCAGGGGAGACCACCCTCGCAGACCTTTTTTGTTCTTAAGAGTAACTTCCCTTTGCAATCGGGGGAGATCACTGTAACAGACCTTTCATGTTCCTAAGAGTAACTTCCCTTTGCAATTATCAAGGGAGACCACCCTAGCAGACCTTTTTTGTTCTTAAGAGTAACTTCCCTTGCTATAAGCAGGAGAAACCACTAGTTTACCTTTTGGTTCTAAGAGTAACATCCCTTTGCAATTAGC